CTGACAAATTCTGGGATTTATTTACCTTCTATAGCTGTCACTGGAACTGATTGCCAGCTCCAGCTCTGAGGCTGTGGCTGGCTGAAGGAAAATATCTGGGTTTGTTTAGCTTCTATAATTGCAACATTGTTGCATCTGGAGCTCAGAGCTGGGCTGCAGCAGTCAGGGAACCTTGGCTTCCTCTGTCACTGGAGCAAGCAAACCTCCTGCTCCCTTCAGCTGTGTGGCTGCTGGCTGCCATCTTGGTTGGCAGTTAATTTGCATATTGCCCTGATTAGCCAATGGGAAGCATAGCAGAGGTATGGTTAATTACCCTATTTGTCTATTATTAGATAGGATATGCTTTTCAGACTCTTTTCAGATAAAAATCCCTACTTTTGGATTTTTTATGGTTAAAAAAAGACAATTTCATTTTATAATTAGCAATCATGTATTAGTTTCTCCTCACTTTAGTATTTGTAATTATTCTGGTGAGTGAAATCAAGGTGACTGAGAACCACTGTGCTGGCTAAAGATGACGAGTGCACAGTCAGTCCAATGACCTTGGCTTCTAATTCCAATGAGCCAATGAGTGTGAGTCCTGGTGCAAGACTGTATACTTATCTTGCTATCAATTTTCTTATATGTAGAAATAGGCTTCACATTAGTTTCTATGCAAGTGCTCTATAGTTCAAAAATATAGCCCTCCAAGCCTGATAGGATTATCAGCCGTGATACAGTATTTTTACTTCCTAAACTGTCATGTAATTTCCTCATAAAGAATCTTCTCTAAAGAACATTATAAACTGATGAACAAAAATAGGTACAGAGGCAAAGAAGCATTGAACAGACTGTCAAACTACAGTGGGAAGGCTGGGGAGGGTTGGGGCAGGGAGGTAAGAGATCAACTGAAGGACTTGTATGCATGCATATAAGCATAACCAATGGATGCAAGACACTGAGGGGCGGAGGGGTGAGGGCACATGCCGGAGGGTAAGGGAGGCCGGGGAAAGGTCAATGGGGAAAAAAAGGAAACATATGTACTACTATTTGTAATACTTTAAACAATAAAATAATAAAAAAGGAATCTTCCCCACTTTTGGTCATGTGCTAAAAGACAACTTCATTACCAAAAATAACAATACATTACTCAACCTCTTGTTCACAGTATGGTGGCTGCTACTAGTTTGTAAGTGGTACTTGAGGCACTTTGCTTTTCTAAAATGTGCTAAGTTTTTAGAATTATTAGTGATAGATGGTGTGAGGGAGCAAGAGTAGGAGGGAGGGAAGAGAGAAAGAGAGAGAGAGAGAGAGAGAGAGAGAGAGAGAGAGAGAGAGAGAGAGACGGTTGTCTTTCCCAATTATACTTCCCTTTCTTCTTTTCATCTATCCAATCTATCTAATCTTCCAGAATGCATTACACAGATGTCCTGGTTCCACCAAAAAGGACCAGGAATTAAGTGACACATGTGACTCACTTTAGGAATGCACTTTAGGACATGTGTAAACTGAAAGTGTTACAGTAAAATCAGGTATTGATTTTATTTTTCCCCCAGATACTAACAAGTTAAAAAAATAAAATTCACAAAATCATAGTACAGTACCAGATGGCATTTAAAAATCAATAAGGTGAACTTAAGTTTATGGGTTTTTTTTAATGTTCTCTTGATACATGAAAAATTACATTTAGGACACATTTTTCCCCCCTAAGAAATTAGTGATGAATTTAGATGTTTAGGGAAAATCAGTTTGTAAGTTAAGGTAATTTATGATCATTTACCATATTAAGCAGGAATTTAAGGCTTATTGTTACTTTTACATAGTACCAAGCTACACATTAAAACAGCTACCTTATACTTTTTTCCACTTTTTACTTTGAGCAAAAGCAGGTTAGGACTTGATATGTGTGTGTGCACACACACACATATTTTTAATATATGCACATATATAGGTTGCATCTTATGGTATATATATATGTCTATATTCAATAGGATATCAAAAACAAAATGGGGAGAGTCCTCAGGAGATTTAGGGAATACGATGACTTTTAATAATCTCTACTGTGAATCTATAGGAGCTAGTGACACACATTGCCACAGCTTAATCACATCTTATTTTTGTTTTAAAAAGCACACTCTCCAAGCAGACCTTTATTCGTCATACGTGTGAGCTGTGCATGCTCTTACTAAGTGGGCTAGTTTTGTTCTCATGCCACGGGAGCAGGTGGCATGAAGCTGTTTTGATGAGGTGAAAAGGCTCCTCCCCTCTTTCCCCAAGCAGCAGCCTGAAGTACGTCAGCAGTAATTGTGTGCCTGGTCCTCTTTTCATGTTATTATTTACTAGTCACACTTCAGCTCAGACAGATAAGAGAGAGAGGTCCTGTTGCCTAGATGTGAGTTCTTTAATGAGGAGGGGAGGCCCCGGGGAGCCGAAATCCAAAGTAGAAAGATGCTGCTTTCGGGTTTCTTGTCATTCTCCAGTCGCTTCTTCACCCTTTTCCAATGGGCCTAGCGAGCAGGAACTATCCAAGGTGCTAGAATGCTGACAGCTTTGCCGTTCAATGCAGACGGATTGCAGAAACAGAGAAGAAAGATTACTGCTTATTTCAGAAGGTAGGTTCTTTGTTTCAGAATCCCTGATTAATCAGCAGCAGCATCAACAGACTAAGGCAGCTGGAGAGGAGAGAGAGAGAGAGAGAGAGAGAG